TGTTAACGTTGAAATGACGGGCAACATCTTGGACAGACTCTCCAGCTTCCAAACGTCCGACAGCCTGGTTTCTCTGAATTTGAGTTAGGCGTGGCATTGTTGACCAAGGAGTGATAGGTCCAAGAATCGGCCACAATTTTATACCCACTACAGTTCGTGACAGATCGTGCATTTTCGAAATGGGTGCATGATACCCACATATTCATTGAAATGGTGCGTTTTGGCGATTCGTTTTTTATGTTGCGTTTTTATTCGGGGCTTCCAAAATGCAACCAGAAATATTTATAACACCGTCAGGCTTCACTACATGCTAAAACTCGTATCAATTTATTGTTCCGTGTTTGTTACCTATTTGTTTAAAACCACTTGCGTTTCTTTTGCGTGTTAGTATATATAAGAAAACTCTCGCTCTAACATATTTAAAAAGAAGCTAACGTATAAAGATCGGCATTAAATACTTACATAAATTGTTAATCCAAACTCAATGTAATAAATATACTGAACCGCAAAAGAAACGTCACCATGGATAGATATATGAGAATCCTTATTTGTCCAAACACTGTAAACATATTTTGAGACATATTAAAAAGATGAAACTTGGCAAAACTGATAATCAAGGTTGAAATTAAAGTGGCAAATGTTCTTAAAGTGAAACACAACACTAGTCTCTGAGAAAAAGGCATCACAAGTCAGTATCTCGTGTGTCCGCCATGTGCATTGATGACTGCCGTGCAACGTCAATACATGGAATGGATGAGGCAGTTGATGAAGGCCATAGGCACTTGAGCTCACACTCTGAGGAACGCCTGACGCAGTTCAGCTGCAGTTGTCGGCCTTGGTCGGACGTCATTCAGCCGTCTTTGAATCTCGTCCCACAGGTGCTCAGTGGGATTTAAATTGGGACTGGGGGCAGGCCACTGCATGGTTCTGATGCCATTCTGCTGGAGGAAGTCTTTTGTTGCTCTTACAGTGTGGGCACGGGCGTTATCATGCTGAAACTGGTTGCGGCGACGTGCCAAATGAGGTATGGCGTGTTGTCTCAAGACTTGATCAATGTACCGAGCTGCTGTGACACCATTGCCTCTCCCTGGACCGATGTTCTGGAAGACCACAGGGCCGACCCTCTGTGCAAGACCAATTCCACCCCACACCCTGATGCTCGGACCACCCCACGAGTCTCTTTCAACAACACAAGCATCCAAATAACGTTCCCCACGGCGTCGCCAGACTCTCTCTCTCTGCCATCTGCTTTTGAGATACAGTAACGGCTCTCGTCGGAGAAGAGGACTCTTCTCCACTGCTGGTGGCGCCAATGCTGGTTGCCCAGCTGAAGACGGTCCCGGCGATGACGCGGTGTCAGAATGGGTCCTCGGTGTGGCCTGTGACAGTGGAGGTGTCTGCCCATCAATTGTCGACGCACGGTGTCCGCACTAATGTGTCGCTGGTGTGTCCCAATGGTCTGTCGAGCAGTTTCCGCAGCAGTAACAAAGCGATCTTGAAGATGCTGTCGCACAATCTGACGATCCTGACATCGGGTGGTGACCCTTGGTCTTCCACTACGTGGTCGGTGATCTGTAGTGTTGGTGGTCTGGTACCGTTGCTGGAGCCTGTATATGGTCCTTACGTGGACTTGAAATGCATTGGCTACTTGCCGGGCGGTTTGTCCAGCTTGCAATCGTCCAAGGGCTTGGTGTCGCTTATTTCTTGTCAATCTTGGCATGTGGTAGCAATTCAATAACGAATGAATGTTATCCGATCTGGGTGGATATAGGGCAAGAAATGGGGGAACGCATTTCAATTTGCACGGAACTTACGTGCATCGGGTTACCTTGGCCGTTGCCGTGATGCGTTTTGGCGATCGGTTTTATTGTCATCTGCTTTGTTTTTTATCATCAAATTTCATTTTTCCGGACAAGGTAATTTTAGAAACTTTGACAAAAACTATCCAGATATTTGAATGACAACTTTTCATGCAATGTTACTCGGTGTGACGTTTCTTTTGTGGTTCAGTATAGCATTGGTCTTAATTGACCTAATAGGCACACACACACACACACACACACACACACGCGCACGCACGCACGCACGCACGCACGCACGCACGCACGCACACACAATCGTGACTTGAGCTGGCAAACCAGTAACTGACATTGTAAGCAACAATCCACGCCGTCAGGGAAAGGTGGCACGCAACCAAGTGATCCTATCTGACCACCTGGGTTCGAATCCCGGTTCACCCCAATTATGTTTCTAGGTTTGTCAGCACCATACCCGTGCTCGTGGGTTTCACCGAAGTGGTAAACGTCTTAGACCTGCATCACTTCGGCCTTTCCTCCCACATTAAGCTGACACGCCGTGATATGACTGGAATACTGTTAAAAGCGGCGTTAAACCCAACTCACTCACTCACTATCTGACCACCCCGTCCATTAGGTCGCGTCTTACGACATGCATAGGCGTTTTGGGGATCCCCACGGGGTTTGAATATTAAAATGGTCATACTATGTTGTTGGTATATATTTAGAAATCCTTCTATACATCTCTAGATGTGGTGGACATTGCATTCCTTCAAAGTGTTATTGTAATGAATTCTTATAATTTGTGTATACTATTTGTCATGAAATAAATAAGTATTTTATTGCCGTTTCAAGCAAGGGAAATGCGAAATCAAAACTGTCACTGTTATCTGAATATGTCTGAGAAATTCAGTATTGAAGTTATTTAAAAGCGAAAACAACCTTCGTCTTGTCGTGCACGTGTGACTGATATGGAACGCACGAGAATGGGATATGGGACACGTGTGACTGATATGTAACACACAAGAATGGGATATGGGATACGTGTGACTGATATGGAACACACAAGAATGGGATATAGGACACGTGTGACTGATATGGAACACACAAGAATGGGATATAGGACATATGTGACCGATATGGAACACACAAGAATGGGATAGGGGATACGTGTAACTGATATGGAACGCACAAGAATGGGATATAGGACACGTGTGACTGATATGGAACACACAATAATGGGATATAGGACACGTGTGACTGATATGGAACACACAAGAATGGGATATAGGACACGTGTGACTGATATGGAACACACAAGAGTGGGATTTAGGACATGTGTGACTGATATGGAACGCACAAGAATGGGATATAGGACACGTGTGACTGATATTGAACACACAAGAATGGGATTTATAATACAAAACTGGCTCCCACAGGAGATATCGCTTGGGTGAGATCAAGCGATATCTACATTGTAGATATCGCTGTAATGAAATTGCATCACAATGCTTTCCAGACCATTGTGACGTCATTGTTACTATTACGTCACAATCAAAAGACATCAGTAGTGACTCTGCTACTGAAGCTGTAAGCAGGGGCGCGTTGCAAGCCACGAATCGCTTAGAGAAAGCAAATTCATCGCTCAACCCGGGGTCTGCAACAGTTCGAAGCGCTTGCGCACTCTTCCAAAATGGCGGTACAACTATACCGCTTGGTTGCCTTGACGTTTGTGTGTTTGTTGTTTAACGCCGCACTCAGCAATCTTCCAGCTATATGACGGCGGTTTGTAAATAATCGAGTATGGACCAGACAATCCAGTGGTTGACATCATGAGCATCTATCCACGTAATTGGGATACGATGACATGCATCAACCATGTCAGCGAGCCTGACCATCTGCGTAAAGAAGAACGTAATAGAAGAGGCTCGATGACGAGCTGATGAAATTTATGACTACTTTGAAGATGTGGAGCAGACTGAGGATGATGGGGTGTTAGCTACCTTTGCTCATTTTCTAGTTGATCCAGTCAAGAATTCCTTGTTCCGCTGTCAAAGTAAGCCGCCATTTTGGTTTGAGAACGAAGCGACCTCAGTCAGCGATTGTTTCGCTTGCAAGCGGCTGAAAGTTAGCGCACTGTTGTAAGGCGAACTGCTGTACATCGCTTACAAGCGATTGGCGCTTTGCAACGCGCCCCAGTTCTTTTTACACTTAAGACACTGCTTATTACTGTTTACAAACTGAAAAAAGGAAGAATGATGTTGGATGATAACTAAAATCTCACTCGAGTGTCTTTTGATATCAAATATATCAACACTCGTTGATAAGACACTCGGTGAGATTCTCTATATGGAACTCACAATAGTGGGATGTACGACATGCGAAGTTGTTCTGTAACACACTGGTACGCGATCCTACGATCTACAGTCATCATTGTCCGTAGAGCTGAATACGTACGTCATGATATCACTGGAAGATTGGAGAATGCGCCCTTAAACCCTATGGGATTCCGGGTAAGACTATAATACTTGGTTGATTGTATGTAATCGTATCCCAATTGCGTGGATCGATGCTTATGATATAAATCACTGGATTGTCTGGCCCAGACTTAATTACTTACAGACTGCCGTCATATAGCTGTATTATTGCTAAGTGCGGCGTGAAACGACAAAACAGACCCCCCCCCCACACACACACACCCCCCCCCCCCCACCCCCCCCCCCACACCCCACCCCTCACCCCCCTCCTCACTCCATGAAGCAAAACTTGGACGGAGTCCTGACTGAGACACTACCTTCAAATATGGTAGATTTTACGGACGCTTCCAAATATGATTATTGAACATATAAATATGTTTCATTAGATAATGATATATTTAGTTTCCAATGAGGAGTTTATTGACTTAAATGTCCGAGACGTTTTATTCAGATTGATGCTTGTAATTCTAATTTTTTTTGCGTGCAAACGTGTACATTAATAATTGTGCGTTCGTCTTTCAAGAAAACTAATTATGCATTAAGAGCATATTATTGCTCAAAACACATTTGGCGCTCATGTGTGTATTGAATGTGAAATTGTGGATAAAAGACGTAAGTTGGAAAGGTAACATTTAACTAAGAGTGTTGAATACGAAATACAGCTGTCAAGTTTATGCTCTATCTTACACGCAAATGTACTTCGGCTACTTCCGTACATTTCCGTCGAACTACTTCCGTCAGGTGCGCGATGAAGCGGAACAATATATCATGGAGTCTAGCATGACTGTGTTTTGGTGTGTGGTGTGATTTTGTCGACCAGGGCTGTGTCCCTTACGTCCAGGTAACGTGATCTAAACATAAACAGAACATTCGATGAATAACAACTTCAATATGTCGAGAATTCCGACATATTCGGAGGTCACGGAGAAAAAAAATCCACTTGTCGCTGACGTATTTTGTTCTCGATTCCGACATAAACAAAGCCAAACTATAGACTGCGACCGACATGCTTGAGAGACTCACGGCTGACAATAGACTGGTGTTTTGTCTGGTAACACCCACACCCGTCGAAATGTTGTCTGTTTACTTCGTGACTCAGTCAGATATGACTGGGACACGAGTATTAATGCCGTGTTTATTTTTATCCAGGCATTTAAATAAAATCAATTCTAGAATGCCATCTGCATTTGAAAGAGATTTTCATAAATCGGAATGCAGAAATGGAAAAATCTCCAAGTACCCCTGTCTGTCTGGGCCTAGTCCTATTTGTTGTGTATGTGTTTATTTTTGTATGCATTCCAAATTGGTTTAGTCACCAAATGTCTGAGTGTGGTTCTGAGAAAATATGTCAGAAAGTGGACAGATTTACTTCAATAAGCCAATGGTCCATATGTTGTAATGGTTTGGTACAGTGTCCTCAGTCTATATTGTATATATGGTGTATGTTTTAAGGCCAGATGTGGTACCAGATGGCACAAAAAGGCATCACTAAACCGGGTTAGAACTAAACAGGAGCCCGCCAGCCCTGGGCTAGTACAAATTCCTGCGGGCTTGTACAAATTTCTCCATTGTTTTAACATTACACAGACATCTGATCTTCACCCGGGCTACTAAAGCTTTTGAGTTTAGTTCTAACCCTGCTTAACTTCTGGAAATCACCATGAACATGATAAATGTCAGGTGTTAATCAACTGATTTTATCTCATGCTTACACGAGGATTGATGAATTGCACCTTATGCTCGACTGAAACGTGACATACCGCTACATCAATATCTGATCATGTTTATACAAAAGCACAACAACAAACTGAGTTGTTGTATTTGTGAGTGATTTGTTATATTTTAGATCAAAGTCAGAGTTACCAGTGGCGATTGTATCGCCTTTCTTTGCCATATTATTATTAGTACAATGTTGTTAAAACAATGTTTATTATTTGTAGTTAACATGTTTGATGGGTAAAGTTCAATTTGCTTAATGATTGACCCAGACAGAAGGGATGCTGGCCTTCTATATTCCAATCCCATTTGAATTTTAGAAGCTTTGGCTTAGTGAGATAGCTTTAGTGTATACTGCCGGTACAGCAATACATAATACCTGTGTTATCTTATCAGTATTAATCAGAAGATGGCTTCCAAAATATCTCACCTTTATTTTTATTATCAGAACAGTAGCCTTAGTGTTGTCTGAGAATGATTAAAGGTTTCTATTTTAATTGGGTTTTTACATTTTACATTAGGTAACCAATATTTTTTCACTCATCTATTCATCATTCTATTGGGTTTTTCCCAAAATGAGTTTACATTTTCAGATTTAAAATAAAATAATGTTTTAGATGTATATAAGGGTTCTAACTATAGTCTTGACCCGGAAAGTAAATTAGCTTGTTATTGTGTTTTGGAAATTAGCCCCATTATACGCATGCTGAAAAAGCTTCATTGGGTATTTACACATGCTGTTTTTATACATTTCAGTTTTTCATTTTATGCATGCATTTCTGTAAGCAAGTTAAATGAAAGTAATTGGGTTTTGAATATTTGTTTTGGGTGTTGTACGCAAATACGTAGCATATCTGTAGCTTTGCAAACGGGAGGACCTTTCAACGAAATATTTGTTTTCTTTGTGGGTTTGCATTTGTACTGATCAAAATTTCTGAATCGAATGGTAAAAGAATGAAGCCAAATCATTTTAGAAAGCTGACGGCTGATTGGCTTAGAACCCACGTAGACTTAGATTGGGCAATCAAGTTCACCTGACATGACCTTCTATGGAGGTGTCCTCAGATCTTAATTTTGAGAGGTATCATATCGGAATAGCTGATTTCATTTTAATGAGATTGAATTTCACATATGGCTCTAACCACGGCATCTAGATATAGACAGGATACAAGCAGATCTTGGCACAGGTTTCTCTTTAAGTCACATGACTTCAAACCCAAATTCCCTTTCGGAAGACCTCATCAACAATCCTGGCCACAATATTTCCTGGCAACACAGCAAAATTCTCAATACCCAACATCAATGACTGGAAAATAAGGTAACTAGCCAGCCATTAACAGACCAAGGCATCATCCTACCCATCATCATGTACTGTACTGTGCTATAACAAATCATACCGGCAAATGGTCATCTTGATTATCTTGTGATATTGTTAAACCAGCCATCTCTTTCTTATCTTGACCGCCTCCGTGGTCTAGTGGTAGAGCGTTGCCCGGAGAGCGGAAGGTCCGGGGTTTGATCCCCTGCCGTGTCATACCAAAAGACGTTAAAAGATGGTACTTGCTGTTACCCTGGCTGGCACTCGGCATTAAGGTGCAAAAACAAGAACTGGTCGGCTCGGAATCAGTATACTGTGTCTGAATGGGGTATTCATATTAAACTGTGGCATGGTACCTCATTGGGATAGCACTATAAAATCAGCATTAAACCGGACTAGTAGAAGTACACGCAGCCACACACACACATGCACATCACTATATAAGTGCAATAATCTTGGAGGTGATGTTAAACCCCATTTCACTTCACCTCACCTCTTTGTTATCTCATTTCGCCCCTTCACTATGCTTTCACTTTGCTTAATTGGCATCTCTTCAGTTAATCCCATTGGCTTCATAATCATTAGGGCTGCAACGAATACAGTGAGGCAAATACGATTCATATCACGATTATAGGGTAACGAATACGAATATTAATTTACAATTACAATAACAAGTCAGCAGTTTATGTATTATTTATTATATTCAGTGAAACAGTAACATCATAAACTATTTGACATGGTTTGTTAATTATTAATAAATTATACATTTATATGCTGCACTTATCCAGGTACTAGTATCTGCTCAATTGCGACAATGACCAGTGACAACAATACTGTCAAATTAAATATTATTAGAGTGTTGTCATTGACAGAAATCTATGCATTTTATATGTTGTTATGGATATTTTTAGGTACAGGATATGTAAATATACAAGATAGCATATTCATAAATTATCGATTCTAGTGGCCATGAATAACCAATTCACTTTATAAATGGTTACGGTTCGATTCACCGAATACATAACAGCCCTAATAATCATATTGTTAACTTTGTATATTTCTGTGTGAAAATATCAGCATGTATATTAGCTCAGTTTGATTACTCAGTACTCAAGTGATGAAGGGGCAAGAAGTAGCTGAAACGTCATTACAAACAATAAAGAGTGTCATGTCTTTATGATAAATATCTACTAAATACCCCCTATTTTCTTTGGGGGGTGGTGGTTTACAAGTCCCATAGACAAAAGATCCCTGAAATTAGGAAGAAACTGCATTTTTTTGTCTGACTCTGTTTTACAATTAGGTGAAATGAAACACTGTTATTCTCACAAAAAACTAGTCAAATCAAAGTTTTGGTATTGTTTTGCAGTCGAACTTCTGGGCGTCGACACATATCTTCCAAATCTGTTTATGTTTTTAATCAAGGTGTTTAAGTGACATGATGCACTTCGCGAGGTAAAACCTGTTTTATTACAATAAAGATCTTGAATATCGATGAGATGGTCTTGATTGGGTGCCGCCAATTTATTTGAAGAAAATGCAAGTGATATGAGAGGTTAAATCTGATTGGTCTGTAGGGGGGACATGGAACATACATAACTCGCAATTGCCACTGGTGGGGCTATAATTGAGCCCAGAAATTCCAGCCTAGTTCGGCAAGGGTCGAAACTGTACTTGTAAAGTCAGTTAAATCCTTTGCCTTGGGAAGATGCCTACATTGAATTTTAGGTTGGTTATTTTTGTAAACCAGCTAATAAAAATAAGAGGCCCTGTGTACATTACAAGTACTTTGTGGATTGAAACTCGACCAAGGAGACTCCTATTGTTTAATTTTTCTTTGGTCAACATGCACAATGCCCTATACCGCTGACAGTCTGAAGCACAGTTTTTTACTGTCAGAGTAAGGAAATTAAGAATTAAAGTAAATGAACTTAGGAATGAGAATAAAGGGATCTTTGTAATAGCCCTTTAACATGAACGGTTTATGATTAAGAAAACCTTGAGGACCCCAACACTAACACTGTTTACTATGTTCCATCTCTGTTGTTCCACAGACTGCATGCACGGGACTCAGGAGGATGGGGAGCGCATCTTCCAAGTTCCGCAAGCATCTCCAGAATGGGGACGAGGTGATGGCCTTGCAGCTGTATGGGAACAACAGTGACCTGCGCAAGGCTCTCGACCCCAACTGTTCCTATGGAGACTCCCACCAGCATGAGACTCCATTGCACTACGCTGCCCGGCATGGCATGAAGGGATTACTAAGGTAACCCCTATATACAGCTTTTTTTTAATGAAAGAAAACGAGTGAAGATCCGGCTTAGAATTGTTCTTCAGCAATCCATGATTGTCGTAAGAGGCGGCTAACGGAATCAGGTGGTCAGGCTTACTGATCAGGTTTATGCATGTCATCATATCCCAATTGCGTAGATAGATGCTCATAATGTCAATCACTGGATTGTCTGACTCGATTCTTAACAGACCGTTGTCATTTAGTGCAGCATTATACAAACAAATGAAAGAAAATATGGTAATGCATTTGATGATTCAGATCTGATGAATCCTCTTGAGTGATGTGTGCCATTGATTGAGGTTATTGATCCCATTATGTTAATTTTACTTCATTAGGGACCTATTATTTATGGTAGACCCATAGAATATAGGTGACAGGCAAACTATGCTGGTCAGAATAGGTGATTAAATGAATCAGGTGGCCAGGCTCAATGACTATCTTGATTGCATATTTTTGTATCCCAATTGCATGGATCGATGTCAATAACTGGATTGTCTGATCCAGACTTGATTATTTACAGACTTTCATCATATGGCTGGAATATTGCTGAGTGTGGCATTAAACAACAAGCCATTGTAGGGGGGGGGGGTTTGAGGGGGGGGGGGGGGGGGGGGTCACTTAGGAGGAATTTGTCTAAATAATATGACCACTGCAGATCTGGAGAGGATGAGGGGTGTGATTGGTGTTGCTGTCACGCATCCCCTCGCCTTACATGTCAATCAGGTGTTTTTTTCACATTGTAACTTGGGTAGTGTGCATCACTCCTTGTCCAAATTCCTGGATCTCCCTCAAATATGCCCTCCCCTCTCACCCCATAGTGTGAGACCCCATGGTGACCTGGGCTGGAAGTGCCCCAACACCCCATTGCATCCAGGGAATTCAGGGGTCTGTTCTACAAAGCAGTTGTAGCGCTAAGGTGAACATAACTCCCTCACTTTAACAAAGACTTACAACTGTAGAACTATAAGCGCTTCGATCACTTTGAGGAACAGCACCATGTTACCTATGCTGTAGGGATGTCACGATAATACAGAGGCCATTATACAATACAAATCTCGATACTGTTTATGCAACATTTTGTGAGGAAAACCCAGTAAGAAGGACAACTGACTAATACCTATCTACATGACAATGGGTTAGGTCAGCTAATCTGAATGAGAAATGATAAGAAACAAACACGTTTACATACTGTATTATGACAGACAGCAAGGAAAAGCTAGTCAATCAGCCGGTTGCATATCCAAAAGACAACCAAGGAATGAGGAATTAAAAAGTATAGTTTGTATTTGCTTATTGATATCGATGCCAGATCAACATGGACAATCGACAGGGTTAACATGGTTAAATGTGAATCGGTGCAAAATTAAGTGTATCAGGTTTTGTATCGTGCACCAGTGAATCTCGACATCACTACTATGCTGGTTGTAAGGGGGAACTTTGTTGAAGGGGTGGCTCAGGCTCTGTGTCTTGGTTGATGGCATGTTGATCACTGGATTGTCTGGTCCAGACTCGACTATTTACAGGCTGTTGTCATATAGCTGGAATATTGATGAGTGTGGCGTTAAACCATAAGCACTCATACATCCCATAGTTTGAGAAATGGTCCACACTATTGTGATATACTTACCTACAATCAGCCAGGCCAACATGGTCAAAAAAGTTCATCCAATTCCCATGTAAGCAGTGGTAATTTGTTAGTCAGCACCATGCTCATGCTCACTGATGATAAGTTGATATGCCATGTTATACCTGCATAATATTTTACCCATCTCACTGTTTTAATTGTTTTTGATGGTAGCTATTGGGTACAATGAAGGCACTATGTAACAAACCACAGGGACAAATTAATTGCTTGTTGTGCAAGATGCGTTCAGTTAAGATGTTGTACTGGTGCAGTAAGCGAATTCCGCTTTGGCTATGTGTTATTTTAGATATTCCCAACTCGATGACTATCTTTAAGGAAAGGATGGATGATTATAGGAGATTTGTTGTTTAAAGTGCTTTTTTCTTATCTTTTGGCTTTCTGAACAATAAATGGAAAAGACGTCTAATTCTTTAGATAATATTATTGGTAAATTGAAGATGCTAAACATGCTAAATGAGTCATAGTAAGATGATATACTGTACTTCCTCTAATAGATGCTGATCCCCGTGAAGATTCCGGGGTAGAATAGGTCTTCAGACACCCATGCCTGTCGTAAAAGGCAACTAGCGGGATCAGGTGGTCAGGCTCGCTGACTTGGTTGATGCATGTCATCGATCCCAATTGCGCGGATCGATGCTCATGATGTCAATCACTGGATTGTCTGGTCCAGACTTGATTATTTACAGACCGCCATCATATAGCTGGAATATTGCTGAGTGCGGCGTTAAACAACAAACAAACAAAACAAACAAACAAACTAATAGATGCTGAGCCTCAAATGCATACCGGCCTCAATTTGACCGGTCCAAAAATTAGAGGCCGGCCCTCTTCGAGAAGCTGGGTCTCTGATACTGTGATATGCTGGTGGTTAATAATGACCATTTCCTGCAAATGTACCCTTTGTATGACTAGAATTTGGGATTTGGTAAGGTAGTGAGTTGCCACTGTGCCAGCATTAAACAGTATAGATGCAGGGCCTCTAATATACACCTGCCTCAGATAGATGCCAGGTCAACAGCTTGCACGAAATTAGTAGATGCCCAGGTGTCTAATAGAGGAAATACGGTAAACCAAAATATGTTGCTTTCAGAATATTTTTGGAACGAGGCGGAAATCCCAATAAGACCAATGGCAAGAAGGAGACCTCCCTCCACTGTGTGTGCATGGAGAAGAGCACCCAGTTCTATGTGCGACAGCGGAGAGCAGACAGTCTGCTACTTATTCTTAAGTGGCGAGGGGCGACCCTACAGGAAGGAGAGATGGAGAAAGCTGACCTTGCCGCCCAAGATGAGGTGGGGTGTTTTGTGCTGTATCTGTTAATAGGGTGGAACCTTTTGTGTTAACCATCCGAAAATTATCTTTCAGCATCTTTCTCACCTCATTTTAGAAGGTAGTTTACTAGACAGTCTTCATGAATATGCACATAACTTCTCTCAAAATGCACATCCTCTCACTGCAAACCATTGGGCCAATGAAGCTGAATCTTCACATGCTTGTACCCCAGAGGCAGAAAATCTTTGAAAATCAATGTGACTCCAACTTTCGTTAAGTGTCTGTCTTTGTTGACGTTTTAAGCTGTTGACTAAATGATGAGCAACTATGTTACTATATAAGCTACTACGTCACTGAAAACATGATATAAATGTATTAATTCCTGTATTTCCAGAAGAAGAACACGTCCCTTCACTATGCTGCAGCATCTGGTCTCAAGAAATGTGTAGAGGTAAGACCAAGATGACTACCTCAAGTACTTCAGTGTGTTTGCAGTAATAAGCAATCCTATGGGCAATCAGTCAAAAGCGCCAAGCTAGCAAGCGCCAGGTGCTGAGATCGTATCCCGCTTGTGACTGGGTTGTTATTCAGCCTTGGGACCAACAATGTCTACAGGTCTTTACAGTGTTGTCACTGCCCCTAGTGTACAGTACATACACCCTGTACACACAAAAGAACCCACTTGTCCGATGGTAGATGACCAGATGGTGAAAACCATGAATACGTACATACACCCGAAACACAAGTGTAAACACATGTGGTGTCACCCTGGGCAAGTGACTTAGTTCACTCTGTTCACCCAGCAGGGAATGGGTACCCGATACGTGAGGTGGATGTAAAAACCTTCTAGCGCCCCTAGGCAGGTTGGGTTATATACTCCCCAGGGAGTTGAGAATGATAAGTGAAATGCAAACGAATCGACTGGTCAGGGAACAAATAAAACCATATTTTAGCAGATAGTAGTACCTGGTTACCTGAGGTATATAAATGTGTAGTTTAATTAATATTACATTAGATGTTTTACTGTGATACAATACCTCTCTGTGCGAAGATCTAAGGACACCTCCATAGAAGGACCCGTCCGGTGAACCCTAAGCAAACTCTGACCACACAATCTAATATATGATAAGGTTGCGTGGGTTCTTGAGCCAATCAGGTGTTACTTTCCTTAAAGAATTTAGCTTCATTTCTTTACCATTTCTATCTTAGCAAAAAAAACTGCCACAGAACATGTAGAACACCAATATTCCCTCCATAGATTAGCCTTTTGAGTGCAGATACTGAGACATTCTACAACAGGAAACAACAGGATGGATAAAATACCTACAACATAGTGGCGTGGCAATACTTTTTTGGCATTTGGATCTTCCTTATAATACTTGTTTTCAAGATAAAGAAAACAGATATGCTTGTCTGAATGCTTCACTCACACCAAGAATTCCAAAGCTTCAATGCTGATTGGCTGATTAGACGCAATGTCCTCTGATCTCGTGTTTATCATTATTATTTAAAAAAAATATGTTTGAGAGTAAAGTTATTTATTCAACAGTGGCTGGTTCATCATGGTGCTCCTCTGTTCGTTGAAAATGATGACAATTTGACCCCATGTGACTTGGCAGAGAAAAACGGACACTCAGACATTGCTCTCTATCTGGAATCAAAGATGGTATTTTCGGTGAGTAGTTCAGTAGTAATTCTGGTAGTTAAGACAAATGTTAACATGGTTAATATGTGGGCATTACTGGATCCAGAAGGTGTGCAGGGGTGGGCATTCCTGGATCTGGAAAGGGTGGAAGTGTGGGCTTTCCTGGATCTGGAAGGGGTGGGAATTCCTGGAAAAAGAAGAGGTGCAGGGGTGGCCATTTATGGATCTGGAAAGGGTGGAAGTGTGGGCTTTCCTGGATCTGGAAGGGGTTGGAATTCCTGGAAAAAGAAGAGGTGCAGGGGTGGCCATTTATGGATCTGGAAAGGGTGGAAGTGTGGGCTTTCCTGGATCTGGAAGGGGTGGGAAATCCTTGATCCAGGAGAGGTGCAGGGGTGGCCATTTATGGATCTGGAAAGGGTGGAAATGTTGGCTTTCCTGGATCGGGAAGGGGTTGGAATTCCTGGAAAAAGAAGAGGTGCAGGGCTGGCCATTTATGGATCTGGAAAGGGTGGAAGTGTGGGCTTTCCTGGATCTAGAAGGGGTGGGAAATCCTTGATCCAGGAGAGGTGCAGGGCTGGCCATTTATGGATCTGGAAAGGGTGGAAGTGTGGGCTTTCCTGGATCTGGAAGGGGTGGGAATTCCTGGATCCAGAAGAGGTTCAGGGGTGGCCATATATGGATCTGGAAAGGGTGGAAGGGTAGGCATTCCTGGATCTAGAAGAGGTGCAGGGGTGGCCATTTATGGATCTGGAAAGGGTGGAAATGTTGGCTTTCCTGGATCTGGAAGGGGTAGGCATTCCTGGATCCAAAAGGGGTGAGGGGTGGGGATTCCAAGATCCAGAAGTGTTGCAGGGTTGGGCATTTCTGGCTGCTGTGTTAATATCCTCCCTTTGTTGTCAGACTGATGGTGTGCCTGAAGAGGAAGAAGATGATTTCACCTTGTCACCAATTGAGGTAATGGCGTACATGATCCATCTTTGAATTGTGGGTATTCAGTTCAGTAAGATAAGCAGTTGTAATATAGAGAGTTTACTCTCTTCTTTATCATTGAGATTGACAGTACCCTCTCAACATCTACTTCGTTGGATCATAGGTTTTCGGATGTCATACGTTTTCGGACAGCCATGTTTATCATGATTACTCACACTATAACAGGGGGTGTAGCATCACACAGATATTGTAAATACTCAGATGATGGCTTGTTTTTAAGAGAAAGTTGTCTTTTATTAGTTAATGAGATGTTTTCCATTTGTTCATGTGATTAGAGAGAAAACTACGAATGTTTCTTATGTGTCCGAAAACCCATAACATGGGGATACTTAGAGGCAAAAGTTATTGTGACATGGAATGTTTTCATTGGTAACCTTGTGAATGAATTTTTGTATTTAAACCAGAGAAAGAGTGTGTTAAAATGGTTGAAGAAATGCAACAGACAGTCTGAATTGCATGAAATTGGCAAGAAGCGTGACATATTCAAGGCAGTAAAAGTTTAACACTGATTCTGTTTGTTGTTTGTGTTTCACAATAAATCTTGCCTTGAGTATATATCCCCAGGTTTATTTTGTGACTCATTCATGCGTTACTTTTCCATGTTCTTGTCTAGTTACACATGGGAAGTACATTTATCATTGACTTCACATAACACAAATAATAGTCACAACATGACCATTCATCAACTAACAGTACCACTGACTTGCAGTTTAAGTATACCGGTATGTGAGTAGCAGGAATTTTTTTCCGAAAGAAATGCGACATGTTGCGTTTGTTCTGATTGCTACCAGTTACTTGGAAGCATTCTGTTTATGTTCTGTGTATTGCAGGAGTACTCCGGTCTGCGGGCTCAGGACTTGCAGGAAGCTAAGGATCAGTTGCTGGTGGAGACGGCTGACATGTTGAGTGTGCCGCTCTTCACAGCAGAGGCCCTGCTCAGGAACCATGGTAGGATGATGTTCTTACTTAATTAGGGTCGGTACGGGTGGCTCAGTTGTCTAAGGTGCCACAATTCACTGTGCAGAGTTACATTGCTCAGGTAGGCGTTGGTTTGAATCCCAGATTTGGTCTGAATCGGACAAGTTCCACAAAATAATCCTGTTGGTTAAAGCGCCGCGATTCGCTGTGCGGAGTTGCCTCTGTTAGGCATAACAGAAACGTAAGATCCTGTATTTGAATCCTGTGTTGCCCTGATTATGTTTAGGACCCGTGAAGATCCGGGGTAGATCCAGTTAGAATAGGTGTTCAGCAATCCTATCTTGCCTTAAAAGGCGACTGTGCTTGTTGTCAGGTGGTCGGGCTTGCTGACTTGGTTGATGCATGTCATCGTCGATGCTCATCATGTCAATCTCTGGATTGTCTAGTTCAGACTCGATATTTACAGATCGCTGTCATATAGCTGGAACATAACTGAGTGCTGTGTTAAACAACAAACAAACAAATAATTATGGTTAGGCTTGTCAACACCAAGGTAGTAAATCTAAGACCTTCATCACTGCATTATATAACTGAAATACCTGAAATACTATCAAAACTTACTAACTTATATTGAATTGATGCATTTTTTATGAAGCTGTCGGCAGTATTCAACCTTTGTAAAGACTGCCTGTGAATAATTGATCCATGTAGTTGAGGTTGACATTGTCATGTTGACATGCAATTAGCAAGGTCACACATACTCATTTAAGTCTTCTCTAATGAACCACCTCCGTGGTCCAGTGGTAGAGTGTTCGCCTAGAGAGCGGAAGGTCCGGGGTTCGATCCCTGCCCGCTTCATACCAAAATGTGGTAAAAGATGGTACTTGTTGTTACCATAATACCCGTCATTACGGGGCTTAAACAAGGCCTGGTCGGCTCGGAGTCAGTATACTGTGTCTGAGTTGGGTATTCATGTTAAACTGCGGCATGGTATCTCAGTGTGCTAGCACTATAAAATTGGCATCAGTCCAGTCTAGTACAAGCAGCTACACAGCACATGTGCATGCACGTCGCTATATAAGTGCGTTAAACCCTATTTCTCCTCACTCTTCTTGTATGACTGGCACCGGGTACTGGGATGACCTATTCTTCCCAAGAATCCATTATTGTGTCGTTTGATATTCAGTAAGTTTGGAGAATTGTAACTCTTTGAATTATTAATTTATTCTTATGAATACATAGGAAATAATCCTTTGAGAATTCTAGGTTGTCCCCAGCAACCTATGCTGGTTGTAAGTGGCGACTTATTGGAATGAATGCCCAGGCTTAGTGACTTGGTTGATTGCGTGTCATCCATCATACCCCGACAGCATGGATCATTCTTCACTATAAGAATCACCAGCTTGTGTATTTACAGGCCCCCATGTATAGTGTAATAACTTCATTACATTCTACAAAAGCCATTTTCTGACACATTTGAGTTAGTCTGAATTCCTCTTCTTAGAATGGTCACGGGAAGCGTTGCTTGAATCATGGATGACCGATGCTTTCGCTTGCTGTGAGCGATGCGGAGTTACCCCCCCTGCCACACTGTTCAGTGAGAAGCCCCAAGTTCAGGAACATCTAGCAAGTCCTCTGCCAAGTCCCAGCAAGTCGGAGCCAGCCAGTCCTGATACTGAGGCATGTTGACATGACAACAAATGATGCCTCAATCAAATTTAGAAACATGACTTGGCTAATAATAAAGTAGACCTAGAAGGCCTTTGGGTATTGAAATGATCTGAGGGCTACGGTTATTGTACAGTGATCGTAAGGATTCAGACAATGTTAAGATATCGTTATAATGTCATGAACCTCAAGATAGCTCCATATCTTTCGTAAGCCATAGAACGCTATCTTAGCATCAAATGATGAATCATTTTAAGCATATTAATTTGCCCCATGTCTTTTGTTATTTTGTCTTCAAACCAATGCTTTATATTTATTTATTTTTAAATCTCAAATCCCGGATTTTGGGGTTACCTCCCTTTGAGAAAATAATTTCTACTTCTGTACACCCCACGAAACAAGGGTGAACTAGAGCAATGGCTGGTTCGATAAGTGTGCTGGTCCACTGGACAAATACCAACTTTAATCAGAAGTAATTCTAAGATTCAGGTGGTTTGACTGGTGAGAATTTTACTCCAATCTAAAGATTTTTTGTCATATTTATTTGTCCTCAGTATTTATGCAGAAAATATTTGGATATCATTTCTAATAGCAACTGTTGTTAAAGGGGCAACTGTGGTAGGAACTTCCACACTCTAGTGGGTTGAGCTTAAACGAGGGATTTGACAGGTCAATATGACGTCATGATAACACAAGAATTTCATTGGTTAAACACCCACCCACGTGGGCCGTTTGACAACAAGGACGGAAGTTTTAATGGTAATAAATATCCATCAAACGATTCCAAGACTTTTCAACAGACAAGTAGTTCTTTGGTTTCATGTTGTCTTCACATCTTCATTAAATGATACCGTGGAATGTCCAAGATTTCTCCAACACAGTCCAAGACACAAATTATAGTTCTGAGCTTTTCTCTGGACGAGAACGAAATACATTTGTCGTGATGAATAAGAGCAGTGTAATTAAACAAAAAAAAACAATATGTGTCACAGCAGAAATCGTTAACCTGTGGTATACGGTATTTTACCGTATATCTGCAGTTTAAGAATAGCATTTCTCACAATATATACAGCGTCTGTGGTATCCAGGGTTTGTCATTCAAGTTGGTTTGTCATTCAAGTTGATACGAAGTTTGACGTGAATGGTGATCTTGTTTGCGTACTGTTTTCAAAAAGCTTCTCCTGACACTCGGTTGTGTTTACATTTTCAGTCATTGTTCGAAAACGGAAGCACTGCCTCCTTGTGGGCTATTTATAGTCAGGGTGGGGTTTTTAGTGGCTTTCTTTGTTATCATTTACTGATTTAGGCACTTTTTGTTTTTACTTGATCTGAATGAATGGACAAAAACTGCAATGTGAAGGTGTCCAGTAATAATCATGTTGATCAGTTCTCTCTGTGATTCGTCTGAAGCACTACTTGGCTACATGTTTAGGACAGATTTGCCGATCTTGCAGGACTGGGAAAATGATTTTAGATTCTTTTATTTGGGCTTCTCCACCAACAGTTAGTCACAGCTTTACACCTTTGATCTACCTATAACACAAAATTAACAAACGGTTACCATGGTTACAGTTATGATGTTAATACCCAAGTCATATAATGTCATTGACACAAATACAGACTGAAATATTAATATGACTGTTGTGATTGTTCTTGCAGTGTGAAATTTGTGCCTGTACTTTTCCCATTTCTGATGAACCAGTCCACATGACGTGTGACCACGACTTTTGCCGAGAATGCTGGGAAAGGTTGGTAGTTCCTGAATATTTCCGGTTCACAATAAACAAAAATGTTCCGTACATAAATGAGAGCTGTCATCTCCCATGATGTAATCATGATTTCAGATTTTCATGTTCTTAATTGTAAACATGTTTTGCTGGATAGCATCTGCCCGGAGAGCAGAAAGTCGGTGGTTCGATTCCTGGGCCGTATCATACCAAATGACAGTAAAAGATGGTACTTCTTGTTTCTCTGCCTGGCTCTCAGAATTAAGGGAACTAAGGGGTTAAAACAAGCGCTGACTGACTCGGAGATGGTATTTTGTGTCTGAGTGTGGTATCCATGTTAAACTCTGGCATGGTACCTCAGTGGGCTGGCACAAGAAGTCTGGACTAATACCAGCAGCCACACAAACAAGTGCTTGCATTTCTCTTTATAAGCGAACTAATCTCATCCAATTTAAACTAATTTCTTTTGCATTATAATGATGAAATCATGAAAAGTCATAATATTGTTTATCAGTGAATGAATTCTTTTACATAATTTCATCCCAATGATGTACTCTAAGTCTTCGATTTAGTTAGACTTTAATCTATTCTTGCAACCGTCAATAATCCCCTGTCATGTTTATAGATACCTGAACTTGAAGATCCAAGAGGGCGACGCCCACCACATTACCTGCCCAGCATTTGACTGCACCATGCTGGTACCTGTAGATGTGATAGAGAGTGTTGTGTCCAGAGACATGGCCCTCAGGTACCTGCAGTTTGATATCAAGGTAATGTGCTGGTTTTTTATCATGTTTATGCTCAAGTGATGACTTAGTCAAAAGAGGGAATAGAATTACAGGACCACAAATGAACCATTTCAAAAGCAGCAGTTTTCTTTTTGGAAGCATTTCCCTTTTCATGTTGATCATTGCTCACAATATGAATCACTGGATTGTCTAGTCCTGACTCAATAATTTAGAGGCCGCCGTCATATAGCTGGAAATGTTTAACTTTTCCTGCATTATGTATTCCGCATTGTTCTTACTACCGAAGTCCTAACTGGAAATGAATGATGATATATCAGGGTCTTCAGTAACTCTACTGCCCAACAGGGACCGCCTCCGTGGTCTAGTGGTAGAGCGTCCCCCCGGAGAGTGGAAGGTCCGGGGTTCGATCCCCGGCCGCGTCATACCAAAAGATGTTAAAAGATGGTACTTGTTGTTACCCTGTCTGGTGCTCGGCATTAAGGGGCTAAAACAAGGACTGGTCGGCTCGGAGTCAGTATACTGTGTCTGAGTGGGGTATTCATGTTAAACTGCGGCATGGTATCTCAGTGAGCTAGCACTATAAATCGGCATCAGTCCGGACTAGTACAAGCAGCCACACAAACACACACACGTACATGCACGTCGCTATAGAAGTGCAATAATCTTGGACGCGACGTTAAACCCCATTTCACCTCACCTCACCTACTGCCCAACATTACCCCTGACCCCATGACATCTTGTGTCGGAAGACACGCCCCCATCTGGAGTCGGAAGACACGCCCGCCTATATAATTTCAGCACCCACCGGGCCGCTACCAGCCATGTGTGAATTCACTAAGGAGAGACACGACAAAGATTCCTTTTGAGGCAGGAATCATGGCGCATACCCCAGAGGCGGAACCAGCATTGGCGGCCGATTGGGGTTCTTGGGGAGGAAAGGCTCGAATACGTGTTATGTTGATTTTATAGACTTATCCTGCATACCCAAGGGCCATCCCGTGGCTTATGTCTACCTCAGCATTGTACCATCAGTCTTGAGGGATGTTTTGAAGACAGTAACGACATAAAGGGTGCGTGTCTTCCGACACCAGATGTCACAATGGTCTGGGACGTCATGTTGGGTGAAAGAGTTACTGAAGATGCTGATAGATCGTCATTCCATTCTAGTCAGGTCTTTGGTAGTAAGAGCAATATGTAATGTAGGATAAGTATAAAACTCTCTGATTATGGAATTATTGCTGAATCAAACAACTTGATGATGACAGTGGCTGCAGGTAGTCAGGACCAAGTTAGTAAGGCTGAAGGGGTCGTCGGCACAGGTACTTCAGAAATGTACCCAAGGTACGTTTCTGAATACAGAAATGTACCCTTGCCAAAATCAGAATACAGAAACGTACCCAAGGATGAGTCCATTCTGCCGCAGGGCCGAAGGGCGCAATGTGCGTAACCGGTTCTTCAGCGTTAGAAATTGGCACTTGTCCTGTAGTCCTTGCCAAATTGCCCAATAGTTAAGGTATCATAAGGACTAGTAGACGCTTGCCCTTTTAAAGGGTTTTGCTATATGTTATCATTATAAGGACTAGTGGTTCAAACCTGTTAGTTTCTACCGTTGTTCTTTACATATTCGTCACTTTCTGTGTGCCAAACCGCGGTTAATTCGACATGGCAGTATTCATGAGATGAATTCCAGTGTATCATATAGGAAACAATCATACACAGTGACGCACATACATTAATCTAATATTCCGGCAATATTCCACGATGCATACATGCACTCATAATCAGGCGAACCAGAACTCCAACAAGAACCGGTTTCTGATTTGGGTTTGGGTTTGGGTTTGGGTTTGGGTTTGGGTTTGGGGAATATGGACTCGTCCGCCATTTAGGGTAGCAGGTACATTTGTGTATTCTAATCTTGGCTCGGGTACATGTCTGTATTCAGAAATGTACCTGTGCCGGCAACGACCTCTTCGGCGTTAGTAAGAAACCAAGATGGTCAGACCAAGGTTACTTTATCATATCATATGACTGCTTTTCCAGGCATTCGTGGACAGCAATCCGGACATGAAATGGTGCCCTTATCCTGGTTGTGGCCGAGCAGTCAAACTGCCAGACTTGGACAACCAGGCCGCGTCATCGTCGTCATCAGGCCCCCAGGGGCGGATCAAGATCCCAAGTGACACCTCCCGGGGGGTGGACTGTGGGGCAGGGCATTACTTCTGTTGGTAGGTTGGGCAAGATGAAAATAGGACATGTGGTATAAGTAATGTGGTCAGCTGTGAGGGTAATTTCATGAACACAGCTTTTACCAGAACATTACTTCTCAAACTGAGACTTTAATACATTTGAGGACCTTTTAACATCCAAAGATGATACCATACAATATAATGTTGCTTTGGATATATCCCTTACCTTAATTTTGCTGACTGTTATTCTGAAATGTATATGATCAATGTGATATAAATAACATGGAAGTATGTCCAAATGTGGAATTTACCAAAATGTTTTTGGGCATACCGTATTCGACGTAATAAGCGCCTCGCTCTAATAAGCGCCCACGGCGATATTTGCTAATATATTGACTAGTGAACAATCCCAATTAGCACCCCTTCCGATTGATCAATGTACACAAGACTTATTTATTCGCGTATAATACGCACTCGTGTGTTATATGCATTCTTAATTATGGGCAATTAAATTCTGGAAAAATGTATCTGTCGTATGTAAACATTTCAGTGTATCAGCATAAACCACGAAATTTATCTTTCAACTCTCTTTTTTCCACCAAATTAATATTCTAATAAGAGCCCCCTATTTCTAATTTTGAGAGCGCCCTGGGAGCTTATTACCGCAAATACGGTAAATCATTTCTTACAATAAATAAATGGTTGATTTCAGATGATATTAGCATGATTAGAAATTTGCTTCCTGCCTTCTTTTTATTATTTTTATGAGGTTATAAAATAAGTATTTTAGAAGCTTAACAGTGTTTCAGTGTAGTGAAATAAGTAGTCGCAAGTTTGTAATCACCAGGGGACTGATAACTGGAGCATGGCCACACATTATTCTTTGAAGATGGTTTGTTTGAGTTTAGCGGCTTTATGATCACAAGGAACAACAAGGCCTCGTTTCAGCAAGTCATCTTAATGCTGTGATGTTTGTGAGCCTATGGGACAACCATAGCTAAGATTCCTTTGTGAAACAGGTGAAATGTTTTCGGTCTTTCTGCACCAGGAGTATCCCTGCTCCTGCAGAGTAACTACAGTGTGTGAAGTATGTGACATTAGCCAGATGCGTCTTGTGTCTCCAGGGAGTGTTTGGAGGATGCCCATGAACCCTGTAGCTGTGATAACTGGAAGAAGTGGGCCTTGAAGGTGTCGGAGGTGAAGCCTGAGCAGTGTAAGAGTATGTTCTTTCTCTTGAGAGTGTACACTCTGTTCTTAGGCTGTAGAAACTAACTTGCCATTGGGACATTTATATTTTTTCAGTTTCTCCTCTCTCCGCTCCCGCCCTGGATATTTTTCTGAATTTCCTGTTTCAGGAACAAATCTGAGCTGTAGTTTATCTTAAAGATGTTCCAATAAGGGAGGTAACTCAGCCTATTGCGTTGTTTTCTTCTATCCACTGATTCTGTCTTGGAAGCCATGAAAAACGCTGGTGCAGCAAAATTGGAATATATCACACGAACAATTCCATTGTGATCCAGTTTTGCACATAACTTAAACAACAGACATCTTGTCAGTTGTAGCCTCAACTAAAGGCTGGCTTTAGTTTTCTTTTCTGAATCGGAGCATGGAGAGGAGAAACACATAAAATAATATGGATGACCTTATGATGAGGTACAGTGTGTCATGCCAGTCCAGATCCTGCTGGTATTGAAACTCAGTCAGTCAGGAACATGATTTGTTAATATGGACATGATATATAGTATTAAGAATTTCCTGATGATTTTGCCCAGATGGTTTCACTGTATATCGTGATACATTGTTAACCCTTAACCCTTAACCCTAGCCCTTAGAATTGTGACATGGGATTTAGGTCTAGTAACAGTTTCTAGCATTGGCACTTACTAATTTGGAAACAAAACTGTATCAGAGACCTCATCTCATTTCATTCGCTTATATTAAAACTGCTAAAAGTCCCTTGTCAAGGTCTACGTTGAAGCTGGGGCGGTCGGGTAGCCTAGTGGTTAAAGCGTTCGCTCGTCAAGCCGAAGACCCGGGTTCGATTCCCGACATGGGTACAATGTGTGAAGCCCATTTCTGGTGTCCCCACCCCCCACCCCCCCCCCCCGTGATATTGCTGGAACATTGCTAAAAGCGGCGTAAAATCATACTCACTCACTCACTATGATGAAGCTGAAATAAGAATGGAACCACATTCATTCATTCATTCATTCATTCATTCATTCATTCATTCATTCATTCATTCATTCATTCATTCATTCATTCATTCATTCATTGACAACAGGATTTATGCTTGGTTTGATTCAAGGGATGAACCTACGTCCATAAGAACATGTACAGGAAATTATTAAAGATGTTTATGGTCTTAAGTTCTTGCTTAGCTCACCTGAACCAAAAGTTCCTGTGAGCTTATGGCATGGTCCATCATGAACATTTACCTTGTCATCATGTCCTCCCAGTGTTACTTTAATAACCTTCATTGGGTATTGAGACACATTTGGTATTCAGGAGTAGGAGTGGCGCTTAACGCCATAGTCGGCTATATTCCAAATATACCATGACTACCTTTAGATAACAGACCATGCAACAGCTGACTGGTAGCGAGAGGAATATTTATTGGGGTACGATGACATGCAATCAGTTACTGGTAGCATGAGGAATTATTTATTTGGGGACGATGACATGCAATCAGTGAGTGGTAGCATGAGGAATATTTATTGGGGGCAGATGACATGCAATCAGTGAGTGGTAGCATGAGGAATATTTATTTGGGTACGTTGACATGCAATCAATACTGGTAGTGTGAGGAATTATTTATTTGGGGACGATGACATGCAATCAGTGAGTGGTAGCATGAGGAATATTTATTGGGTGATGATGACGTGCAATCAGTGAGTGGTAGCATGAGGAATATTTATTGGGGGGCGATGACATGCAATCAGTGAGTGGTAGCATGAGGAATATTTATTGGGTGACGATGACATGCAGTCAGTGAGTGGTAGCATGAGGAATATTTATTGGGGGGCGATGACATGCAATCAGTTAGTGGTAGCATGAGGAATATTTATTGGGGTACGATGACATGCAATCAGTGAGTAGTAGCATGAGGAATATTTATTGGGGTATGATGACATGCAATCAATGAGTGGTAGCATAAGAAATATTTATTGGGGGGCGATGACATGCAATCAGTGAGTGGTAGCATGGGGAATATTTATTGGGGGACGATGACATGCAATCAGTGAGTGGTAGCATGAGGAATATTTATTGGGTGACGATGACATGCAATCAGTGAGTGGTAGCGTGAGGAATATTTATTGGGGGACGATGACATGCAATCAGAGAGTGGTAGCATGAGGAATATTTATCAGGGGACGATGACATGCAATCAGTGAGTGGTAGCATGAGGAATATTTATTGGGGGACGATGACATGCAATCAGTGAGTGGTAGCATGAGGAAAAATTTATTGGGTGATGATGACATGCAATCAGTGAGTGGTAGCCTGAGGAATATTTATTGGGGGACGATGACATGCAATCAGAGAGTGGTAGCATGAGGAAAAATTTATTGGGTGATGATGACATGCAATCAGTGAGTGGTAGCATAAGAAATATTTATTGGGGGACGATGACATGCAATCAGTGAGTGGTAGCATGAGGAATTATTTTTTGGGGTACGATGACATGCAATCAGTGAGTGGTAGCATGAGGAATTATTTTTTGGGGTACGATGACATGCAATCAGTGAGTGGTAGCATGAGGAATTATTTATTGGGGGACGATGACATGCAATCAGTGAGTGGTAGCATGAGGAATATTTATCAGGGGACGATGACATGCAATCAGTGAGTGGTAGCATGAGGAATATTTATTGGGGGACGATGACATGCAATCAGTGAGTGGTAGCATGAGGAAAAATTTATTGGGTGATGATGACATGCAATCAGTGAGTGGTAGTATGAGGAATATTTATTGGGGGACGATGACATGCAATCAGTGAGTGGTAGCATAAGAAATATTTATTGGGGGACGATGACATGCAATCAGTGAGTGGTAGCGTGAGGAATTATTTATCAGGGGACGATGACATGCAATCAGTGAGTGGTAGCATAAGAAATATTTATTGGGGGACGATGACATGCAATCAGTGAGTGGTAGCATGAGGAATTATTTTTTGGGGTACGATGACATGCAATCAGTGAGTGGTAGTATGAGGAATATTTTTTGGGGTACGATGACATGCAATCAGTTAGTGGTAGCATGAGGAATATTTATTGGGGGACGATGACATGCAATCAGTGAGTGGTAGCATGAGGAATATTTATTGGGGTACGATGACATGCAATCAGTGAGTGGTAGTATGAGGAATATTTTTTGGGGTACGATGACATGCAATCAGTGAGTGGTAGCATGAGGAATATTTATTGGGTGACGATGACATGCAATCAGTGAGTGGTAGTATGAGGAATATTTATTGGGGTACGATGACATGCAATCAGTGAGTGGTAGTATGAGGAATATTTATTGGGGGACGATGACATGCAATCAGTGAGTGGTAGTATGAGGAATATTTATTGGGGTACGATGACATGCAATCAGTGAGTGGTAGCATGAGGAATATTTATTGGGGTACGATGACATGCAATCAGTTAGTGGTAGCATGAGGAATATTTATTGGGGTACGATGACATGCAATCAGTTACTGGAATTATTTATCGGGGTTTCAGTTAGATATTCTTCAGTATCCTTGCCAATTATCAAAGGATTCTTCAAGACATTTTATCATGTTTAGTTATAATAGGACAATGTCCTAAAAATACTACTCCATGATGCACAAAACTGATGCTCATAATGTCAAGTGTTTGCTTAAATAGTTATGACCTTGAACCTTTTTTTAGCCTTTTCTTCTAGTCACTTCACATGTTGTAACCATTCTCTAAAATCATAGCGTTAATGAAGCTAGTCTGGAACACACAAAGTACCATTGTCATTAAAATTGTTTTCATAATTCTGAACCAATTTTTATAAGGCCACATAGGCTACCATGTTAAACATGTAAATTTGACCCCCTACTTCAGCATTTGTGGAGGTATCAGTGTGTAATGTAACATTTGTATTAACATATGAAGATTCAGAATGTTTGATTATGACCCTAGTATGACCTTCCTTTTCTAAATTAAAACATACCCCATGATCTATAATGTTGCAGATGCTCCAGGGAATTCAGGTGAGCTACAGAGTGCCTCTATTTTATTACTCACCCCCAGCTTACATTTTCCTCCTGACATTTATACACAGACATGTAATGAAAGTCTCGATAATGTGAAATGGATATCATTAATAATGCACTGAATTAACAGCTTGGTGAAACTTTTGAGTTGTTTTTGACTAATGATGAGTTGCAAAGTAGAGTTATCGATGACGAGATTTGTGTGAATGTTTCAGTGAATGGTGTAGAGATTTGTGTGAATGTTTCAGTGAATGGTGTAGAGATTTGTGTGGATGTTTCAGTGAATGGTGTAGAGATTTTTGTGGATGTTTCAGTGAATGGTGTAGAGATTTGTGTGAATGTTTCAGTGAATGGTGTAGAGATTTGTGTGAATGTTTCAGTGAATGGTGTAGAGATTTGTGTGAATGTTTAAGTGAATGGTGTTGTAGAGTGAGGTACTGATGTAGAGGCTGTGTGAATGTTTCAGTGAATGGTGTAGAGGTTGTGTGAATGTTTCAGTGAATGGTGTTGTAGAATAGAGACACTGATGTAGAGGTGTGAATGTTTCAGTGACTGGTGTTGTAGAATAGAGATACTGATGTAGAGGTGTGAATGTTTCAGTGAATGGTGTAGAGTAGAGACACTGATGTAGAGGTGTGAATGTTTCAGTGAATGGTGTTGTAGAGTAGAGACACTGATGTAGAGGTGTGAATGTTTCAGTGAATGGTGTAGAGTAGAGACACTGATGTAGAGGTGTGAATGTTTCAGTGACTGGTGTTGTAGAGTAGAGATACTGATGTAGAGGTTGTGAATGTTTCAGTAAATGGTGTAGAGTAGAGACACTGATGTAGAGGTATGAATGTTTCAGTAAATGGTGTAGAGTAGAGACACTGATGTAGAGGTTGTGAATGTTTCAGTAAATGGTGTAGAGTAGAGATACTGATGTAGAGGTTGTGTGAATGTTTCGGTGACTGGTGTTGTAGAGTAGAGATACTGATGTAGAGATTTGTGTGAATGTTTCAGTGACTGGTGTTGTAGAGTAGAGATACTGATGTTGAGGTGTGAATGTTTCAGTAAATGGTACGGAGGAGGAGACTGAGACAGCAGCCAACTGCCTGTGGCTGGTGACCAACTCCAAACCCTGCCCCAACTGTAAGTCTCCTATACAGAAGAATGAGGGCTGTAACCACATGAAGTGTTCAAAGGTAAATCACAAAGATACTGCCTTCTTCTTGTAAGAATATACTGTGTAACCATGGTAACCCATAGGTGCAGATTATTCCTCCCATATAAAATCACTCTTTCTCCACATTTGTTTGCCATCAGTATTTGGTTGAAAGTCCTTGATAAGATGCTTCTGACAAGAATAACTGCTTCATGAAATTATAAAAGATAATGATTTAGAGTCCTACCTTGGCAGAATTAACACATCTGGACGAGCTGTATAAGTGTTTAACAATGTTGATGTTTCTAGTGCAAGCATGACTTCTGCTGGGTATGCCTGGAGCAGTGGAAGCGCCACAACTCCAGCACTGGGGGGTATTTCAAGTGTAATAGGTACGAAGCCGTGAAGAAAGTGGAGGAGAAGACAGCCCAACTGGTCACAGAGGTAGGGCAGGCTTTATCGTGGGTTCAGTATGTTGGCAAGAAACAAATGTTAGGACTTCTTCATGATTTTTACAGCTTTTGATGGACATTCTTCCATATTACCATGTTTGATAACGATCTTCAAGACAGTTTGGCGGTTTGACAGTTTCAAGGCATCTTTTTAGTGAACTGGATCCCCTTCCACAAAGCCATCTTAGCGCTAAGGTGATCGTAACTCCCATACTTTAACGAGGACTTACGAAAGTCGTAGTGCTGGATAATCGTAACTCCCGTACTTTAACGCAGATGATAGTTGTTGTGGATGTTTTAGTCAGGAGATAAACATGTGTTTTCAGATTTGCAGGTGGTATTGAGCATACACTGCCCATAGTTGTTCTGATAAACATTGACATTTCACAAATGTTGTATCATTGTCTTTCAAATTGGGGATTGAGAAAAAAAAAAAATTCTCAAGTAAAGTATCAAGGTGCCAAGAGCAGGGTCAAATTTAGTGATAAACATTTAATTATGTGTTTTCAGAATTATGGTGTTAATGTGTTTTGAGATTTCATTTGGGACTGATGTCGTTAGGAATTAAGAACCCAAACAAGTGACATCAGTGAATAACTGAGCATCTTTGGTATCAACGTTGGACTTTATACTTGTTGAAAACTGCGTTGTTTATTTTTTCAGTCAAGATGTCTTTTATCATAAATCATATGTGGTAAATGTCAGTGTTTATCGTTTGTTTGTTGTTTAACACCGCAATCAGCAATATTCCATCAATATGACAACATTCTGTAAAAAATCGAGCATGACCCAGACAATCCAATGTTTCCATGCAATCAAACAAGTCAGCAAGCCTGACCACACAATCAGGGTGGTGGGTAGCCTGGTGGTTAAAGTGTTCGCTCATCACACCGCAGATCCGGGTTCGATTCTACACATGGGTGCAATGTGTGAAGCTTATTTCTGGTGTCCCCAGGGGTGATATTGCTAGAATACTGCTAAAAGCGGCGTAAAACTACACTCACTGACCACACAATCCATTTAGTTGTCTCTAACGACCAGCACAGGTTACTGGGGACCTATATTCTCACCGGATCCCCATGCAGTGTTGAAGATATGGCTCATATATTTCAGGCTGAGGAGAAGAACACTAAACTACAAGAACTAAATCGTTTTGTTCACTACTACACAAGATTCAAGAACCATGAAAACAGTTACAAGGTAAGAAGGCTTGAACATGTCAGATAGGATTTTTTTCAAAGTCATTTTGGCCCCAACTAATATCAAAGTTTCACACTTAACATTTTCTGTTTCATAATTTATTTTTCTGTGCTCAACATTGCTTGTAGTATCTTTAACTTTTATGTTTTGTAGCTTGAAGAACCCCTGTTAAAGACAGCGAAGAATAAGATGATGAAATTAGCCCAGGCAGTGACTGATACAGGTAGGTGTGAAGGAGAAAGTTGATCAGTATGCTTCTCAGCTGATGTTACTCAACTACTGCAGTTTCAATGAGCTAGACAGCATGAATTGTGATTGCTTTTCATGACTCTTTGTCAGTGCTTATGATCTGAGGTATAATTCACCATTGTGTCTCTGTAAACAGCTACTGCTAACACTGTCCTAGGTTTATCTAAGGTACTATTCATCATTGTGTGTCTATCAACAGCTACTGCTAACACTGTCCTAGGCTAATCTAACTCGCAGTTCATCATTGTGTGCCTCTGTCAACAGCTACTACTAACACTGTCCTTGGCTAATCGAAGGTACAATTCATCATTGTGTCTATGCCAACAGCTACTGCTAACACTGTCCTTGGCTAATCGAAGGTACAATTCATGATTGTGTCTATGCCAACAGCTACTGCTAACACTGTCCTTGGCTAATCGAAGGTACAATTCATCATTGTGTCTATGCCAACAGCTACTGCTAACACTGTCCTTGGCTAATCGAAGGTACAATTCATCATTGTGTCTTTGCCAACAGCTACTGCTAACACTGTTTTAGTTAATCTGAGGTATAATTCATGATTGTGTCTATGCCAACAGCTACTGCTAACACTGTCCTTGGCTAATTGAAGGTACAATTCATCATTGTGTCTATGCCAACAGCTACTGCTAACACTGAGACAAAGTTTGTGGAGGATGCAGTACACCAGCTGCTCAAGGCCAGACTGGTGCTCAAGTGCTCCTATGTGTATGGCTACTACTTGGACGGGCCTGGCTATAAAAAGATTGTGTTTGAGTTCATGCAGGTAGGTATTCACATGACATGGAAACAATCTCATTATAATCATATCTTTGTGCTCTGTATCTGCCAGATCTGTTTGGAACCGCCTCCGTGGTCTAATCGTAGAGCGTCCGCCCGGAGAGCGGAAGGTCCGGGGTTCGATCCCCAGCCGCGTCATACCAAAAGACGTTAAAAGATGGTACTTGTTGTTACCCTGTCTGGCGCTCGGCATTAAGGGGCTAAAACAAGGACTGGTCGGCTCGGAGTCAGTATACTGTGTCTGAGTGGGGTATTCATGTTAAACTGCGGCATGGTATCTCAGTGTGCTAGCACTATAAATCGGCATCAGTCCGGACTAGTACAAGCAGCCACACACACACACACATACACGTGCATTGAGGTCGCTATATAAGTGCAATAATCTTGGAAGCGACGTTTAACCCCATTTCACCTCACCTAACCTGTTGTTCATGCCCCCATAAACACACCAAATATTGAAGTCAATTCTTCCATAAACTTCTGTTTCAGACTGAGTTGGAGGAGGGTATTGAGATTCTTTCCCAGATGGTGAATCGTCTGTATCTGCGCACTCCACGGAAGAAGATCATAGACCAGGCACATATTGTTCAGCGTAAACGACTTGAGTTCATCACCGCCATTTCAATGGGTCTGGTGCCTCCCGAGACTCCGCCATCAATGAGGAAGAAGAAGAGGAAGAAATACAGCATGGAAACAGAGGATGTGAGTCCATTTGATTTTTGTGCCAAGACACTGCCATTTATGAGGCTGAACTACTGTTTTCAGCAGAATAGCTTGGCTTTGTCTTAACTAAGTTTGGGGGCTCAGATAGCCCAGTCGTGATTCGCTGTTCAGAGTTGCGTCTCTTTGGCATGTCAGAAACCTATGATGGTGGGTTCGAATCCCGGTTTGTGCCGATTATGTTTCTAGGTTTGTCTGCAGTATACCCGTGCTCATGGGTTTCACTGAAGTGGTAAATGTCTGAGACCTGCATCACTTTGGGCTTCCCTCCCACATAAAGCTGGAATCCTGTTAAAAGCGGAGTTAAACCCAACTCACTCACTTAGCTTAGTTTGCTAGAAAGCAATTTACAAATCTCAATGACCAGTCTTCATGACCTGACATGACCTGACATCATGACATGACCTGACATCATGACATGATTTCATGACATGACCTGACATCATGACCTGACCTGACTTGACCTGACATCATGACTTGACATGACCTGACATGATCTAACATGACCTCACATCATGACCTGACATGATCTGACATCATGACCTGACATCATGACCTGACCTGACATCATGACCTGACATGATTTGTCATCATGACCTGACACCATGACCTGACATGTTCTGACATCATGACCTGATGTCATGACTTGACATGACCTGACTTCATATCCTGACATCATAACCTGACATGATCTGTCATCATGATCTGACATGACCTGACATCATGAAATTACATCATGACCTAACATGATCTGATTTCATGAACATACATGACCTGACATGACCTGCCTTCATGACCTGATGTGATGAAATGACATCATGACCTGACCTGACCTGCCTTCATGACCTGATACTATGACCTGACATGATCTGACATCATGACCTGGCATGATATGACACCATGACCTGCCATGATCTGACTTCATGACATGACCTGACATCATGAAATGACACCATGACCTCACGACCTCATGATCTGACTTCATGAGATGGCCTGCCTTCCTGACCTGATATGATAAAATGACATCATGACCTCACATGATCTGCCTTAATGACCTGACATGATCTGACATGACAATCTGACATGACGACCTGACATGACATGACATGATCTGACACCATGACCTGACATGATCTGATCTCATGACCTCTCTTCTTGACCTGTCTTCTTGACCTGACATCATGACCTGTCTTCTTGACCTGACATCATGACCTGTCTTCATGACATGACATCATGAACTGTCTTCATATCCTTACATCACCGGACATCATGACCTGCCTTCATGACCTGATGTGATCTGTCATCATGACCTGATGTCATGACCTGACATGATCTGACTTCATGACCTGACATGACCTGACATCATGACCTGCCTTCATGACCTGATGTGATCTGACATCATGACCTGATGTCATGATCTGACATCATGACCTGACATGACCTGACATCATGACCTCACATGACCTAATTTCATGACATGACTTTATTGCTTAACTTCATGAGCTGAAATTGTGCCATCATGACCTGACATGATTTCCTGATATCCCTTACTGAAAACTCCCTTGCTGAAATTTCATCATCCATTATTCAAGTGCATAACCTAATGGCATTGTGGTTTGCAGGAGGACCTCCGCAAGGCCATACTAGCCTCCATACAAGAAGTGGATCCAGCAAACCCCTGGATCAAGGACGCTTCAGGCCGACACACCAATGTCATGGCCTACCTGGAGTGGCCAGCGGAGGACAGCGATGATTCCGACACTGACATTTCTGTCTCGGCCCTCAGAACATATGGTAACATCATTCTTTCTCTGCAATATGATCAGCCACAAATCTGTCTGTACATCAGGGTCACGTGTGGAGATTCCCACTGAGAATATAGGTCCCCAGCAACCCATGCTTGTTGTAAGAGGCTACTAAATGGACTGGGTTTTTTGGATTGCTGACTTACTTGATTACATGTCATCGTATCCCAATTGCATGGCTTGATGCTCATGATGTCAATCACTGGATCAGTATCACAAACAGTATCAGGGTATGTGACTCTAATATCAAACATCTTGAAATATGGGTAGCTCAGTTCAATTTAACTGTTTCAATCGCATTCTAGAAGTTGGTGAGTAAATAAGAAAATGTACAACTATAAGGATAACAACTTCTTGTTTATTGCTTTTAACGACGTTTTGCTGTAGATTCACTCCAGCATAATAACGGTGTATGATTTTACATTGAAACATCACTATGTGCAATAAACCAGAGGTTCTTATCCCTAAAGTTCTGTGATGTCTCAGTTCAATTTGTTGTGCAGAGTTGCATCCCATAGTGATTCCAGGATTAGCCTAGTTTAACCCCGATTAGGATTAAAAGCTGATCAAAAGCCGATTAAAAGTGGAATAATATTTACTCTCTCACTCAATGACCCCGCCGTGATATTGCTGGAATATTGCTAAAAGCGGCGTTAAACAATACTCACTCACTCACTCACTCACTCACTCACTCACTCAATGACGAATCAGTAAGATTGACATTGCAGCCAGCTTTGTTTTGTGTTTAAGTTAAGCAGTTTCATGATTAATTTGCCTGGCTCATGAATGGCATGTGACATTTGTGATTGACACCTTGCCTCTTCTCCTAGGCAAATGTTGTCGACCTGGCTGCAGCCGGCCCCGCGCCCCCAACCCCCGCACTGGGGACATCCACGACTACTGCAGTCTGAGCTGTCTGAGGCGGGACCAGGAGGAAAAGGTGGAGCAGGAACACCAGGGTGAGTAACCATGGTAATGGCCAGATAGTGTGTCAGGCTAATGAGGCCTTACAATATGTTTCAGCTGGTTTACAAGATTGACTAAAAGAACCCAACTGAAATTAGAAAACAAATAATATGCTGTTTGACAGTTTTATTTTTGGCAGTCTCAGTTCAATTAAATGAAAACAAAATGCATTATAAATCAAACTCACTTTAATATGGCCATAGACAGGTTGAAACGATTCACCGAAACGCTGATGCACTGTGAGACATAACCTTCAAGACAATAACATGTATCGCAACGCATGATGATAAAAAAGTGAGTGAGTGAGTGAGTTAGGTTTAACACCGCTTTTAACAGGATTCCAGTTATATCGCGGCGTGTCAGCTTAATGTGGGAGGAAAGCCCGAAGTGATGCAGGTCTCAGACGTTTACCTCTTCGGTGAAACCCACGAGCATGGGTATGGTGCTGACAAACCTAGAAACATAATCGGGCCGAACCGGGATTCGAACCCACAATCATAGGTTTCTGGCGTGCCCAAGGGACGCAACTCTGCACATCGAATCGCGGCGCCTAAGACGACTGGGCCACCCGTGCCCCCCGATACGAAAGACAGTTATGTTTTTATTTGTTTGTTTAGTCATACATCTGCTATGGGAAACCACAATATGGGATACCTGCTCCTTTACAGATGACATTCCGGAGGTGATCCTTGATGAACACATGGATCTGCTTCGAGCTCTGGAGATGTCCCGGCTCCAGTACCTGAGGGAGAGCGGACTCATTCATGTGCCGGACACAGAGGATCACCTGTGAGTTGATCACTTTAGGCTGCTGTTCATCAATTAAAGGATTTCCATTCAATTTTTCCGAAATATCTTGTGGGATGTGATTTTGTTTCATATTTGTATTTTCGTGATTTCTCTGACTTAAACCATGTCATGGCGAATGTATAATGACTCTATAATTTCGCATGACCTATACTTGCACCTGTTTTACTTGTTTAAATGCCTGTTCAGAATGGCCAATGAATTCCTGGGTCAGAATCACCTGCCAGAACAATAGCTTCACATAATGATGATTTAGGGGAACACATGTATTGATTTTCTTTTTCTGTAAGTACTTGGAGACAATTAGACGATGTTTGTAGTGAGGCGGTTAGGGACAAAAGTGTAATAATTACTTTGTGATGGTCTAACCCCACCATTTTACCAGAGGATGTTTTGGTTTCAAGATGTCAGTCAGCCAGTTCCTTTGTGTCCTTTCTCTCACTTCGAATTACTGTGAATGTTTATGAGCTCCTTCACTGTGCTAAGATGCTCATGCTATCATCCACTCCTTTGTTTGTTTGGTAGTTTGGCTGGCAGTGATGACAATCAAATAATTTAGTTACAATGGCCTAAACTTGGAAAAGAATGGGAGTTTGTGCCTACAGATCAGGCCTGTGTCATAACACCCTAGTCACTTCCTCACTCACTCCATTTGGGCCTAGACCCGCGAAGATTCCGGGGTAGAATAGGTCTTCAGCAAACCCATGCTTGCCGTAAAAGGCGACTATGTTTGTCGTAAAAGGCGACTAACGGGATCGGGTGGTCAGGCTCGCTGACTTGGCTGATGCATGTCATCGATCCCAGTTGCGTGGATGGTGGCTCATGATATTAATCACTGGATTGTCTGGTCCAGACTCGATTATATACAGACAGACCGCCGTCATATAGCTGTAATATTGCTGAGTGTGGCATTAAACAAACAAACAACCAACCAACCAACCAACCAACCAACCAACCAACCAACCATTGGGGCCTAACTGACTTAACATGCCGAAGAAGCTTCTGTTTCTTTTTTAGTTGGCATCCATGTCTGTCGCAAAAACATTCTTTGATGTCCTTCTGTTAAGTTGTCACTCTGACAGTAAAATGTTGCCCTCACCAATGGGATCATATGTTTGGTGATTTGTTTATCTGATTGTGGTTTTATAAGATTATTGTGTATAGATACTGACAGTATTTTATATGGATTAAAATGGAGTGTGCATTATGAGTAATCAGACCAGTAATTGTATAAAGCTAGACTAGCTGTCTGGTTGGTAGTCCCATTCAATGAACCACTGATATGAGAAATAGGCTAAAGTCTGTTGACATTTTGTTTTCATGTGCTTATCTCTCAGAGAGAAATGACATTTTTACTCAACAGTTTGAAACTTGGTATTGTTTACAGAGTTATGGCCCTTGTTCCATGCTTTTCAACTATGTGCAAAGTGTCTGCATTGGGGACAGGTTTTCACAGAAACTACTGAAAATGCATGAACGACAGTTTGCATGCTTTTCTATGAGATACTTGTCAAGACTGAGTTTGAAAATTGGTGCAGTAATTTTTTTATTTTTACAGAGTTATGGCCCTTGCTCCATGCATTTCAACTTACTGCGTAGTGTGTGTAATGGGGACCAGTTTTCTCAGAAACTACAGAAGTTACAGGAATGAGACCTTGCATGTTTATCTATGAGAGAGATACTTGTCAAGACTGTGTTAAAAAATGGGTTCCGTAAATTATTTTTTCCAGCGTTACTCCCCTTGCAACATGATTTTAGATTTTAGCAAACACAGTTTTGGCCCTTGAGTCAAGTAAATTTTCAAAGTGCATATAGTGTCTGCAATGGGGACCAGTTTTCTCAGAAACTACTAAAGTTAGCTCATCTAAGAGATACTAAAAAAAAACTGAGTTCGAGAAATGGTACCATTAATATATATTATTTTTTCCAGAGAAGGGGGGCCTTTTGTGTGCATTAATTATCCCCCACCCCAACGAAGTTGGCGTGGGATATAGAAATGGGTTCTGTCCGTGTGTGCGTGCGTGTGTGCATCCCGAAATCGTTTCCGGAGCATAAATCAGAAACCGTTAAATATTACTCTACGAAACTTTGCATGTCTATCAGACTCATGCTGAACTGGTGCCTTTTGCTATTTAGGAATTTTATAAATTTTTATATTTTACGTTTCCATGGCAACAAGTTGGACTTAGGTTCTATAAGGGTGCTGTTCGTTTCTGGAGCGTAACTCAAAAACCGTAATTTCTTACAAAACTTTGCATGTTTACCAGACACATACTGAACTGGTGCCTTTTGCTATTTAGGAGTTTTATAAATGTTTATTTTAGAATTTCCATTGCAGCTATTTTGACATGGCCTAAGAGAAATGTTGGGTCAGTTACCTGGTTTGGGACCATAACGTGTTAAAATGGCGGGGGATATAGATGACTTCGTCGACTATACGCTTGTTTCACTTTTAATCATGTTTTTCTGAAGATATAAAGCAACCCTTTTGCCTATCTCTTTCTTAAGGCTTTTCTTGTTAATTTTTTTATCATTGTGCAGGAAGGGGAAGAACCACAATACACATCCAAATATAGGCTAAAGTGTGCATTGTATCCAATCAGCATCACCATTGTTCAGCTGAATGGTCGAAACATTGGACCATATCTAACTGTAGGATAATGTGTGTTCTTGTGGAAATCCCTCACCTTTGCAGGGCAAATAATGTGGACTAGTAACTTATTTTTGATGACAAGCCCTCCTGGCCAGTCATTTATGACTAATAACTAATTTCTACACTGCATACTGACATTTTCTTCTGTTAACAGTGACCAGCATATGGAGAGACTGACCTACAAGAAGTCCCCTGTAGACACCGGTCGACCCCGCTCCAACTCTGAGTCCATGCCCAAGAAGAAGGGTCTGACCCCTATGGAGGAGCTGGACCAGGAGCTGCAGAGGGTGCTGGAAATATCATCAACCATACCTAAAGGTCAGTGGGTCAACTACCATCAGATAAGTCACGATAAGTCAAATAGTTAATTATTAGATGGGCATCCGATTGTTTCAAAACTCGAGGTATTTAATTTTTTATGTTTTTTTAATGTTTTTTAAAGAAACTGTTCAAACGTTAAATGTCAACAACTATGATTCCAATATGGTTATTTGGTTGGACAACGTATATATGTATTTCATCAAAAACAAGAGAAGAGAACACACATTAAGACTCTTTAGATGCCCCAAAACCTTTTGAGGCAGGATATTTGGTGTTGAGGTGGATGGGGACAAAAATCAAATGATCTACTATGGCCTAACCAACCAGTTTTACTGATGAGTTCAAGATGTCAGTGTGTTCCTCTCTTTCACTTACCGGGGCGGTTGGGTAGCCTAGTGGTTAAAGCGTTCGCTTGTCACGCCGAAGACCCGGGTTCGATTCCCGACGTGGGTATAATGTGTGAAGCCCATTTCTGGTGTCCCCCGCCGTGATATTGCTGGAATATTGCTAAAAGCGGCGTAAAACCATACTCACTCACTCACTCACTTTATTTTACCGTATATTATCCGTCTATAAAGTGACTCCGCCTATAAGGTGGTGACTCCCTGTAATTACCTTTAACATTGATGCTAATTTACATACCCTGTCTATAAAGTGATAAGGCGATCTGGAATGAAGCACATGACCAGCGCATACACAATCCCTACATTTGCAGTAAAAACATGTTTGTCTTCCATTTTGCTGATGGTTGAAGCATCACAATCCTAACAAATGTCCCTGATGTTGTTACAGAGAGTGACTCCGATGGTGTCCTCAAGGTGGATGTTCAGAAGGGAGACGGTAAGATTGGACTGCACAAACGGAAATGTAGCCAGTCTCATTTTGACGAGACCACCTCGACGCTTGTCCCGAGGGTGCCTAACAAGAGCGTGGAGGACTTGTATAGAGGCGATGGCACATGGCTCACCAGCCCGCACACTCCGACCTGTGCTTGTGATAAGTGTGTTGAGAGCCTGGGTGCTTATGCTGCCCCAGACAACCCTAGAGGATTCAGTCTTCTCAGCCTTGAAAGCAATACTTTCGGTGCAATCAAGGATCTTTCAGTGTCCAATATCCATGCTACAGATGATGATAAAACCAAAGACTTTCTATCAAAAGATTTTGCTGCCCTGTTTCAAAAACAGGATGGCAGGGCTGCTTGTTCTCAATCACAAGGTAATGGTGGCAAGCTTTTTGCAGCGAACACACCTTCTGAAGATGATTGCTCTTATGTGCTGAACAGCCCGTCATCAGAAAAATCTGCCTTATCTACCCAGTTGTGGCGCCCCCGGGCTGCCATACAATCAATATCAAGTGATCAGATTACACCAGTGGATTACGAAGCTGATCATTTAGCACTGAAGACCCCATCAGACACGTACAGTCATACAGACGAAAGCAAAGACACACCCGTCTCACCACCAGAAGATCTGTTCACTGAGGCTGACATTCATTCTAACCTGGCTTCAGAACTGGATGAGATCATAGCTTCGGGGTTTGATGACTTGGTTAAGTCTCCATCCGAGGCAGAACTGTTAGGTAATAAGGTGGACCTACCGGAACTCAGCGAGGCGGATATTGAGATTGCATTGAGTGAGGTGTGCCAGGTGCCGGAAGTGACGCCAGACACCAGTTACGGAGACTCTGGCCATGTGTCCTTGCTAGAGATGGCCGAGAACCTGCTTCAGATGTCGGAAGACATGCACATGCAGATCGAGGACATTGATAGGATGTATGAGGGTGACAGCAGCGGGGTGGGGGGCGACGAGGATACGCATGGGGAGGGTGCAATGGAGGGAGCAGTGGGGAGGGAGGATGTAGGGAGCACTGCCCCTGGGGTAGAGACAGACGAAGGTCGGATGGACCAGGCTGATGTGTGTTCAGGCAGTGTTGGTTGTCTTGGTGATGTGAGTGATGTGCAAGAGGATTTGTCTGTGACATCTGGTGACCTTGAAGCTGCTGGTGGCAGCGCTGATGATACCGGGATTGTGATTGTTGACTCTGTAGTGGAGGAGAAGAAGGAGGAACCAGTTAAGAGGAAGAGTAAGAAGAAGAGGAGGGAGAGACAGTCTTTCTATGTGTGACGAGGAGTTGGATCTTGGATGGAGATCAGTGATCAGGATATGTTTCTTTGATATTTCAAAAGCAAATACATGTAATAATCAATGACCGAGAAGTGATAAACAGACTGATGGTGTCACGTTGTTATGATCATTTTATGTACAGGAGTCACTTCATATTCTTCACAAAATATCTCACTGAACATGATTTCCTAGATACTTTTGCAAACTAGGATACAAGTGTAATGTTTAAATGCATCCAAATGAGCTTGTCACACATATTTATCTGGTTTTCTTTTTTGTATGATCCCGTTTGACAATGTTTGAAAAATCAAAATGATTTTATTCAGGAAGAGCTGTATTTATTGTCATATACTACTAGAAAAAGTTAAATTACATTAAGTAATACGTTACCACTGTTATACCGAGGCTGTTGTCTCCCACAACTGCTGCTATAGCGAAATCTACCACAGAGATCTCAATTACCTCATGCAGCACGTGCGTAGCCACCTAGCTGCCATGTGACACCCTTCACTCTTGTCTCCTTCGTCTGCTTAGCAAGACGTGTTTTCTCCTGCTGAAGCGTTCCTTGAAGATTTGGTGATATTTATTATAGTTTATTTTCTAATAAACTGTGCTTTTATGGGGCGTTGCGGTAGCTACGCTTGGTTATAATTTTCCCGCCCTTTTTTCTATATACTTGCGGGGTTCGCGTATGCACGTTGTGTTTTACGTTTCCCCTGTTCTTGTATGTTTTGGGGGTTAACATAACTTATTTCTTTAATAAAAGTTATATGTGTATGTTATATGTTCACATTGCTCGTTTATTTTCTTGTGAAAATGTTCGTTTGTGAATCATTGTGGTGCGTGCGTTGTAACCATGTTTTGTTCTTTGTTTATAGCAAACAATCAATGTCTGACATGGATATGTCCCCAGTATCCACCCCCTCTACCCCTGCTCCTCGGAGTTATGGGGTGTGCAGAAAGTTTTTGTCGTCCCGGGATCCCCACGTTCGTTGCCCGCGGTGCAGGGTTCCTTGCGGGGACACCCGGTGCATCCTGTGCGAAGGTCTGGGGCCTGCGGATTTTGAGCGGTACCGGCTGTACGTACAGTCCGTCTCCACCCCTGTGGTGGCCGGTTCGTCCGGTCGGGGTCCCCGTGCGGGTACCACCTCCTCGGCTGCGGCGGATCCCCTTGCGGCCCTCGGGCTGTCTGGGGATTCCGTCGCCGCATTGTTGTCGAAACTTGTGGATTCCATGCTGGCGGCCTTATCGCAAGATAGGCCGCTGGCTGTTCCGTCCCCGGCCTCTTCGGTGGCCGCGGGGTCGGACGCGGGGTCCACCGGTAAAGCGGCGGATCTCTTGGCGGCCCGTGTGCTGTCCGGGGATTCCGTCGCTGCATTACTTGCATAACTTGTGGACTCCAAGCTGGCGGCCTTATCTCAGGATAGGCCGCTGGCTGTTCCGTCCCCGGCCACTTCGGTGGCCGCGGGGTCGGACGCGGGGTCCACCGGTACGGCGGCGGCTCCCGTGGTCACCGGTCCTTCCCCCGAACCGTTGCTCCCGCTATCGGTTTAGGACCGCGTGGCCATGGTTTATGACCTCTTTGAGGACATGCCCCGGCCGGTACCGCGGGGAATCCACGACTGTGGGTTCCTCCGAGGTATACGATGAGTCTTCCGACTCGGCTTTCCCCGCATCAACCTTGCTGCGCGGTTTCAAGCCTTCCTTGGAGAACGCCTTCGCGGCGGCCTCCGGTCGGGGTCTCCCGTTGCCTCCGACGTCGTGGAGAAAGGGTTTATTCCCGGTACATGACCTTGCCTTTCCCGAGGCTGGTCCTACCGCGGAGGCCCATGTTGAGCGGTTGGGTGTCCGTGCCCCACCGGCTGCTACGGTAACGCAAGCTACCTTGCACCAGCTGGACGCCCTCGCTCGGCACTCCATGTCTCACGGAGACACTTACTTGGCTGCAGCGGCCCGTCTGGTCGAAGGTTCTCCCACGGACCGTGACCAGCGCATTTACAACTGCCTGCTCAGTTTAAATGCTTGCCTGGAGTACGTTGCCGAGGACTCTCGGCACACACTTGCTCTTGTTGGGTCCCTGCATAGGCGCCTGGGTGCCGCTCCTAACCGGAGCGCGCCCCAGGCTGCTGCGGCCGGTAGGTCTAAGGGGTCGGGTTCTTCTTCCTCTGGGAAGTAGCCCCGCCCTGAGGGCTCCGGTATGGGCAATCAGCTGCCCTTTCGCGGGAAAACGGGGAACTGGGGGAAGCCCAAGTCGTCGACGGACGGCAAGGGCCCCTCCAGGTGACTCTCATTGGAGGGGTTCGTATGCCGACAGCGCCAACTTCGGTTGGCCCTTAGGCGAACCCGAGTCACTTGGCCCTGGACAGTTGCGCCTGTCGCAACCTGTCAGGGCCCCCTCTCCTTCCCCAGTGGGAGCCAGACTCCAGACTTACTGGGAGAATTGGGAACAAGTGTTCGACGACCCGTGGGTGGTCAACACGATTCGGTACGGCTATCGGCTTGATCTCAAAGCGAATCCGCCGCTCACCGTTGCCCCGTTGGCAGGTTTCGATTCGGAAACCGATCTTCCCATCCTCGCCGATGCCATCGGCAGGTTGGTGGAGAAGGGGCAGTACGGGAGTTAGCTCTACCAGAAATAACACCGGGGTTTTACTCCAGGATATTTCTCGTTCCCAAGTAGGACAGTGCCGAACTCAGAATGATTCACACGTCCGCTCCCTGGCTGTTCACCCGGTTAACCACCCCCATAGTGGGGTTCCTCCACAGGAGGGGTGTCCGGTACTTCGCGTACCTGGACGACTCGCTAGTAGCAAATCGAATGACGGACACCCTGTCACGCCATCTCGATTTCGCACGTCGGCTCTTGGAGTAATTTGGGTGGATTATCAATCTCCCCAAGAGCGAGTTAACCCCTTCTCAGAACTTGCTGTTCATCGGAGGTCGGTTCATCACGGTGTCCCATCGCCTCTTTGTCCCCCCAGACCGGTGGCACAAAATTCAGGCGATGATTGCCAAAGTCTTAGCGGTGCAACAGACTGTTCACTTTTGGGAACAGCTGTTAGGGCTACTTGTATCAGCCCAGGACTGCACCGCACGGGGTCGTCTCCAACTCCGCCCGCTGCAACGGTTTTTAATCCAGTTGTTAGCAACGGAGGTGAACAGTGCGACCGTCGCCCTCCCGGATCGGCTCCGACCGCATCTGGAGTGGTGGACGGTCCCTTACATTGTCTTATCAGGAGTCTCTATGCGGCCCTACCGGGCCACGTTGACCCTGTATACAGACGCCTCTCTAGTGGGCTGGGGCGCCCATCTAAAGGGGGAGGTGAGCTCGGGGCTGTGGTGCTTAGACGAACTAGGTCTTCACATCACTTGTCTCGAGTTCAAGGCAGTGATCAACGCAGTCAATCACTGGAAGCATCGTCTCGTCGACGCCCGGCTCATACTGGCGACCGACAACACGACGGTAGTGTCCTATGTGAACAAACTGGGGGGAACCCACAGTCACTCGCTACTCGATCTCACGTTCGAGTTTTACGCTCTGGTGGACAGTGTCCCGTGCCAGATACGCGCCCGTCACATCCCAGGTGTGCGGAACGTACTGGCCGATGCTCTATCGAGGCCTCAGGATCCGAGCCCCACAGAGTGGATGCTGAACCCAGTAGTGTTTCAGTGGCTGTGCGAACGTTTGGGTCGTCCGATGGTCGACCTGTTCGCAACGCGGTTCAACAATCAACTCCCGTTGTTTGTATCACCAGTCCCGGTCCCGAGGGCCATCGATCACGATGCTCTCGCGTTAGACTGGACGGGCTTGGTCGCTTATGCTTACCCGCCGACAGCGTTGATACCACACATTCTAAGCCGGCTCCGAGGAGTTCGCTGTCGAATGTTACTGATCGCGCCCATGTGGCCGAACAGATCGTGGTACCCCGACTTGCTGACCCAGGTCACGCAGTCGCCACTTCCACTGCCTGTGAGACCGGGTCTCTTGATCCACCCTCACACCCGTCAGCTTCATCCAAACGCAGGGCAGTTCAATCTGCACGCGTGGATGTTGTCACCGAGCGTCTGAGGAGTAAAGTTTTTTCTCGCCGGGCGTCTCGGGCATACGTTAGTATGCATCGTGATTCTACCCAGAAGGTGTATAATGCACGTTGGGTTATTTTCACGAAGTGGTGTTGTAAACATCACATTCATTCGCCAGATAAGGTATCTGTGCAGGATATTGCTCGTTTCATGTCTCACTTGCGAGAGACCCGGAAACTCTCCGGGGGTTCCATTGCCAACTATGTCTCGTCCGTTGCTACGGTACGGGACGTTGCTATGGGTACCAGTCTCTCCAAAGAGCCGGTGATACGGGGTATTATCAAGGGTTTCAAACAGCACGATCTTAAGAAGGGCCGCCTTCGGGCACCGGCCTGGGATCTTTCCCTAGTGTTGCAATCACTTACGGAAGCTCCGTATGAACCCTTGCATAGTGCTTCGTTCCGGCATGTGACTTGGAAAACAGCATTTCTCCTCTCCTTTGCCACGGCGGCACGTGTATCCGAAATTCATGCACTCGATGTCGCCAAGGTACGATTCGATAGGGGTGACGAAGGAGCGGTCCGCCTGGGCCTGCTCATGGGCTTCGTCGCCAAGAATCAGAGAGTCGGGCAAACGGAGAGAGAATTCACTGTAAGATCACTCAAAGAAATCTTACATCCTGCTGATACTGAGGACAGAGCGCTGTGTCCGGTTAGGGCCCTTAAGTATTATCTTAAGGCTTCGAATGAACGTAGACAAGGGCGTGACCGTCTGTTCATATCGTGTAACCCTAATCGCACGGTTGACATACCTCGCAACTCGATTGCGTTGTGGCTTCGTTCTGTCATCAATCTGGCGTACCGGTCTCGGGGGTTACCGGTAGCGGGGTCAAACCCGCACGAGATCAGGGCGCTAGCGGCAACATTTGCCCTACACTCGAATATCTCTGTTCGCAGAATATTACGAGGTTGTTACTGGCGTTCTGACTCGGTTTTTGCCAATCATTACCTCAAACAGGTCGCTGATGCCGTCGTGGAGAGTGTGCACCGTCTTGGCCCGCGGATCGCGGCGCAAGCGGGCACCTAAGGGGTGTGCCCAGCGCAATTCCGAACTCCTCAGGCGTCTGACCTTGCACGGTGGTCAATCTGGGTCTACTCCAATGTTCCCACTGCCGTGGGTACAGGAGTTGGGGTCCCGCAAACCAGCGCACTCACACCACAGGTGAGGGCGGCTTTTTGTGTGCTTTGTCCTTATTTGTATTTTGACAATTATGTCTTTAATTGTCTGTCGTGTATCCCAACCTTGTGATGCATGCTTACAAATACTGGAATTAGGTCACGCGCCT